GCTGATTTCTGTGACTAAATGATAAAAGAGCTGACAAAATATTTTAAATTTTCTTCTCAATGGACCTGCAGGAAGTTTCTGGTTGAACATGACCACACAAGACAAAAAATTTAGTGCAGAAACACCAGATCTGATGCTGTCTTTATAATCCCCACTTTTGCAGTAGTTGTACACTGACTCCAACAATGGAAACTTACAATATTAATCCTTTCAGGAGCTCTCTGTCACATGGAGCTAAAGAATTTCTTGGAAGCAATAGAATGGTGTGAGGAAGGCTTGGATATTGACCCAAAAGAGAAAAAGTTTGTGGAAATGAGAGCTAAAGCTGACAAATTGAAGGTAAATATGAGGGCAGCCTCATCTGCAGTGCTTGTCTCTTTGGGATCCTTGGAGGGAGAGCTCTCCATCAAGGTTTCTGAGTGGTGGTTCCATGTGTTGTGTGTTGAGATGTGCAGGGGAAGGGGCTGGAGGGACCTTCCTGGGCACCCAAACTGATTTCTCCACCTGTGTGACCACGGTGCATCCTTTTCTTACCTCTAGCGAATTCAGGAGCGGGATGCCAGGAAAGCAAAGGTGATGGAGAGGAAAGAGCAGTGTCAGAAGGAAATTTTGCTTGCAGCAATAAAGGTGAGGTGCTGAGAGGGGCTAGTTTTGTGTGGTTTGTGGTTTTTTTAAGAGCTCTCCTGTTTTTCTCTAGAAGTTGGTTCTCATCCATTGGCTTTTGAGGGCTAGAGCAAAAAAAATTGAGATAGAGTCATGTTTGTCCAAGTCTGCATGGCTCCAGCCCCACCTACAGCTTTCTGCATTTCAGGTAACAGCTAATGCAAAATACAGAGCCAGTGTTAGGAGGTGGGCTGAGCTCTGTGGGTGCTCTGGCTGCTGGGCTGTAGCATCACATCAGCCCAGTGAACCTGGCTTTCTTTGCTGCCCACAGGCATCAATTCTGTGGAGGAATAGAAGATAACTGTTCAATGGGGTAGAGGAGGGAGTCAGTCCTGGATCCCCTCCTTCCTCAGTGAATGTTGAAATGACATTAAAATGTTTTGGGCTCTTACATACAGTCAGATCTCTTCTGCT